TCCCTAGTGGCAGGTGCTAAGGTCTCCTGGTGAGTCGCTCGCTCCCGCTGCTGCATTTGGTTGCACTCTGTAAGCGAAGCTGGCGCCTCGCGTGCCCGGGCTCCCTCCCCGAGCTCGCCCGTCTGCCCACRCTGTGAATCAGCAGGACGAATTCCTGGCAGCTTCGGGCCTCGGCTGGAGGTCTTTTTAGGGATGCTAACAGGGAAAATCTGCCTTATTGCAAAGGGCGGGTGCTGTGTGCGAGCCGGGCTGCAGCGCTGCCGCCGTTGCTGCCACCCGTGCTGCTCGGGCGCCGCGGCCAAGGCCTCCCGGGTTCAAAACAAGCGCCCAAACTCAAAGAAACTATAAGCAGAGAAAAAAAGCAGAGCATTAGAAACACTTCCCATGCTGTAAGTGACTTGCAGAGACATAGTAGCAACTGCCTTTCTATAGCTACAGGAGCTTGTGGAAGGAAGGATTTCAGGACAGACTTGTGCTGCCCATGTGCCCTTTTTCCCACCTTTAACTGAAACACCTTTTGTTCCTCCTGCCAGGTTTCTGGTCCAGTTCAGACAGGATAAAGTGTGTGTGAAGTTCATCCAAGGGAGCCAGAAAAATGGCAACATCCCGACTTGCAAGCGAAAAAACAACCGACTTCTGGAGGTGGCCGTGCCGTAGGCGCCGTGCCCTCCACGGACTTGTGCCTGTGCAGCAGTGCCATTGCAGAGGTTTGGGGTTGCCGTTTGAGCCCTTTCTGAAGCTGCCGGGGGCGAATAGCTTTAGAAAGCCTTGACTCAGTCTTTGATCAATTGACTTCTTAACCTTTCGTGCCGTTTAGGTTTAACCCGCAGAGCGCAGGTTCTTGCCCGGTGAGACGGTTTTTTTACCGGCTCGCTCTGTTATCCATGAGACCTTCTCTCTTTTTTTTTTTAGCGGTCATATTTTAGTGCAGCGTACCTACCATAAAACCACATATATTAATGACAAATTACACATATTCCTTAGGCTAGAGGTCTGCTTAACAGAAACTATAAAGGATCATGATGTTTATTGGTAACTTGTGCCCGTTGCCTTTTTGTTCCAGCCTGTGTTGGTCTCCCGAGGGCTGCCCCGCTGGCCGCCCTTGGGGAGGCTGGTGGGTCTGGGGCTGAAGCATTAACTTCAATAATCAACACTAGGACCTAGGTAACTTGTTCTTTTAGTAAATATAGCACGGGAACACCTAATTTTGCAAAACAGAAGGCATGTGTGATTGATTATACAAGCAGTTACATGCATACCTTTATTTTTTTAGTAAAAATGAAGAAATTTTRAAATAGAATTTTTAATTAGGTCGAATATTTTTAATGATTTTATATGATGGAAAGCAGTAAAATTAAGGAGGTTTGCTACTTTCCCACAAAATATATAGTTCCAGGCATATTTTGTGCTCTGCGTTTTATAATTTATCTGGCCAAATTAGATCCTGAAAAATGCCATAGTATTCATAGGGCAAGTAACTGCTAGGTATTTTAACTGTTAGTTATCAAGGGAAGGGCTTGGGCCTTTCTTTTAGACATTGGCATGTACAATGTGCAATAAAACATACACGACATTCTGTGAGATTTATTTATAACTGTGTGCAAGAGAGGATTGGTGCCGCCTGCGTAGACAATGTAGGGATCCAGATCCAGGTTTGTACTGCTCTTTGGCAGGGTTTTTTAGCCTGTACCCTATCGCTTCCGTCAATTTGGGAGGAATAGCTAGAATTATAAAACATCCTTCACTTGGGGTTCTGTATATAAATGGGTCTTGTGGTAATAAAGCCGTTTTGACTCTGTGCTCTTTGGTACCCCTATGTTATGACCACACTTTTGCATTCCAGGCTGTTCCGCACGGCAGCGGCGTGCCGGGTGTAAGCGCGCGCAGGAGCCACGGGCGGGAGCTGCGTCTTACACCCGGGCGCACGCGGCTGCTCCTYGAGTCTTGTCAGCCAGATCTGCCGGCGCTCGGGGCTGCTCCCGCGTGGCCACGAGTCCCGGCCCCTCTCCGAAGGGTTCTGGAAGGTGGCAAAGGTCAGAAAAAGCCATTTCCAAGCCAGGAACCAGCTGGCACCTTTTTTGCATCATCTTCATTTGAACTTTTTAATAATCACCTTAGCTTAATAGTTTAGTGAAATTAAAGCATTTTATATGTATAGCAATTAGAGATGCYTCTGAAGAAAACCTCAGTATCAATTTATAATGCAAAAGGAGGATCGAATCCATGGCCTTAAGAATGCAGCCTGTCGTGTTTGAAACGTGGTCCTTGCCAAAGGCTGCGTTCAGACTCCTGCTCGGAAGGACTGTTTGGGATCTTGGAAACATTGCAGGAAGCCCAAGGGGCAGATTTTAAAAGGGGGAACCAAAAGTAAGTGACACGGGTGCCAAGTGTGAAGTGAAGCCTGAAGTAACCCCGAGCTTGCTGCAGGTGGGAAATGGGAGGGCTCGGCTGAAGTTCTTCTAGGATGTTTGACCCGTTGAATCCCTTTTATCCTTTTGATCTCATGGCAAATCATRGTGAGAAAATACTTTAATTATACTCTGTTTTTAAAATAGCCATACTAACCTAACACTGGAATGGTGGGAAGTCCTCTGCTTTGATTTCTGTTGGGCAGAAAGATCTCTTTGGGGATCTTCACYATCTCTAATTGTCTGTTAGCTCGTCCCATTTGTGGTAGCACATTTAGGTAGCATTTGTGGAGCAGGTCTTGCTGGACACACAGGCTGCTCAGCTGTGCCAGGTGAGTCACGGCCTGCTGATGGCTAAAGGGTCCRGGATACTGGAAATAAAAATGCAAGATCGGCTACTTTGGGGTTGTTTTTTTTTTTCTTTTCCTGTCCACTGTTCTCTTTTATAACCTACAATTAGTTGGGGTTGTGCAGAAAAGACAACGCTCCCTTTCTGTGTCCTTTTACCTGTGGATTTTTGTCTGTCATCATAACCAGGCAAGGATTATTTAAAGAAACAAAAAAGGAGAGATTTGTTTCATGAGATTTTACATATTCAAATAAAATTCAGTTCCCAGAGCGGTGCTTTCTCTACCTCTGTGTGTTSCCTGTGTCCCGCTCTGATCCAGAAAGGGAAGCAGTTGGGTCTCAGTGGACGCACGGGCCGTGATGCCAGGGAAGGGGGTTCTGGTCCCGGCAGGGGCAGCTTGCACGTGCCCCCTGGATCGCGCGCGACCCCCGGTTCTGACCCAGGTCCTGCCCTGGTTCTGCCCCAGGTCCTGCCCCGGTTCTGCTTTGGGCAGCGTTTTCTGGCACTGGGCTTCACCTGAGGGCAGGGCTGGGACGCAGGCCTGGGAGCTYGGCTGGATTCCCTGCAAACGGCCCCAAGTCTCCAGCCTGCCCAGTCTCCGTGTTTYGCAGTGCGTTGTTTTCTCTCCTTTTCCTCTTAGTTAGTCTCTTGTGACTTCCCTGTGGTTTGTTCAACAGATGGTAGAAGAAAAAATCTGAATGTGAAATCAGAAGAAAAAAAAAAAAGCATCTTCACTTTTAATCCAGGACCGATCTCTGCTTCATCTTTGCCAAAAAAATAAAAAAGAGCATTTTTGTAAATGCATTTGGAAACGGTTCTGGGCTGTGCTAGGAAATGAGATCATTTCCCCGCATCACCCCAACTTCCAGTCGGTCCTTAACCCCTCCCTCAGGGGCGAGGAAGGAGCCCCACGGCAGACGGCGGCCCCGGGAAGGGCCGCGGTGGCAGGGAGGGCCCGTGGGCACCGCGCACCCTGTGGCCGTGGGCAGGCTGGGGCAGCCGCAGCTCCCGCAATGCGGCGGCTCCCCCGCGCGGCGCCCTGCCCGCGACGGGCCGCTGGGCCCCGCAGCGGGGTGGCCCGCGAGCGGTCCCATCCTCGCGGTCTCCGGAGAGGCCCCGTCGCCAGCTGCGCGAGGAGCACGCTAAAAATAGCAGCTCTTCCCTGGAAAAGCCACGTTCCCACAGCTGGCGGAGCTGGGAACGTGGCTGTGTCCRCCCTGGGGGCAACAGGCGCCCTCCTGGTGCTCCCGCTTCCGTGCGGCCCTGCTCCCCGGCCTGCACCAGCGCAAGAAGCCCCCGGCAGAAAGGGCCTCCCAAAGGCTCCCAAGGGTGGCAGCGGGACCAGCATGGAGCCGGTGCCAGGGCCTTCCTGGCACGGAGTGACAGTTCAGCAGCTACATGTGTTGATTTGTGCTTATAAGTTTGAGAGAAGTTCTTGGAGACTCTTASTCGGTTTTAAAAAAATGTGTTTTGATCCTCTTTCTGCATCTGGTAACTCTATATAGCGGTATGACTCATTGGTCTGACCGTTCACTCTGAAGACTAGTGGTGTTTTAAGTCATAGCAGTTAATGATTGCAGGAGGCACCGTTTTAAGGCTGCGTTTGCTTGCGGCCCTGGCCGGGAACACCAAAGCCCCTCCTTGTGCTGCTCGCCCGCGCTGTGATGTCCCCGTCACCACCAGCCCTGCCGCAGGCCCCTCTGGGGACAGACGCCTCGCTCGTGTCTCGGGATTTCCTGATCTCCGGGAACGGGGCRGCGCATCTGCGCGCCAAAGCCAAGGGGCTGCCCCGGGCCCCGTGAGGAGGCCTGTGCACCTGTGAGGAGGTGTCATGGGGAGGGCGGCTCTACACTGCATTGCTAAGTCAAATTCCCTTGGTGCATCTCATTGGCCTGACCGTTCACTCTGAAGACTAGCGATGCTTCAACCCGCCGCAGAGTCGGCAGTGAAGGAGACGCTGCTTTAATGCGTGAATCTGCTCACGGTCTCGGCTGTGCGTGCCAAGACCCCTCCAGACTTGGGACAGCCAGGGCCGCTTGGCGGCACAGCCGTTCCTCGCTCCCCAYGGATGCGCCCCAAGCCCGGCGGCGCTTCCCAACCCTCAGGCGTCCCTGGGCAGCGCTAGAGACRTCCGCCTCCCGCGCCAACCCCGGCCCCAACCCGGCGCCATCAGCAGCAGCCACCCCGCGCTGGGCATCGGGCGTTTATTGTGCGCGGCGGGGCCGCCGCTCGCCCCGCGCGGCTCAGATGTCGCCCTTGAGCCAGCAGTTCTTGGCCACCTGGCCGAGGCCGGGCCGCGCGGGCGGGCTGTACTGCAGCAGCTGCGCGATGAGCGCCCGGCACGGCTCGGGCAGCGGCGGCAGCCCCTCGGGGTAGAGCACGCCCTTGCGCTGCCGCCGCGGCATGCTCTGCACGTGCGCGTCGTCGAAGGGCATGCAGCCCGTCACCATGACGTAGAGCACCACCCCCAGGCTCCACACGTCGTGCTTCTTGGCGTCGTAGGGGATGCCCAGCAGCACCTCYGGCGACGCGTAGGCCGCCGAGCCGCAGTACGTGGTGCTCAGGTCCGGGTAGCCGGCGGCCTCCTTGCTGAAGCCGAAGTCGGTGAGCTTGGCGCGGCGGCCGTCGGCGGTGAGCAGCACRTTCTCGCACTTGAGGTCGCGGTGCACCAGGTTGCGGTCGTGCAGGTAGCGCACGGCGCTCACGATCTGCGCAAAGATGTCGCGCGCCTCGGGCACGCAGGGCAGCTTGCCCAGGCGCTGCACCARCTGCAGCAGGTCGGTGGCGGCCGCCTCCATGACGATGTAGAGCTTCCCATTGCACACCTCGATGAGCTCCAGGACGCGCACAATGTTGGGGTGCCGGATGGTCCGCAGGATGGAGAGCTCGCGCGGCAGGAACTTGTGCACAAAGTCCGAKGGCGCTCGGCGCCGGTCCACCACCTTGATGGCCAGGGGCCCCTTGTACTTGTTGGAGGTGGCCGCCTTCACCTTGGAGTAGCTGCCCTCGCCCAGCGTCTGGCCCAGGCGGTAGCCGAGCTCGTGGAGCAGCTTCTCGCCACCGCTGCTCCTGGCCATGGTGCGCGATCAGCGGGGGCTCCGCTCCGAAGCCGGTGTTTCGCTCCAGAGCCGGGCAGCGCTACCCCATGGTGCGCGGGCGCTGCTGCCCCCCGCGGCCGCCCCCATGGCCCCGGCGCAGCGGCGCGGGCGGCAGCAGCCCCAGCGCTCGGCCCATTGTGAGCGCAGCGCCTTTGTGAGGCGGC